TTACTTCTTACTTCAGATCTCTGAACACACTTGGGCCTTGCCTCTCCAGCCCCCTTTTCATACATCAGCCCCCTCATATTCAAACCCTGGTCAAACTTCCGGGCTCACTCCAGCTGCCTTTTCTCATTAAAGTCAGATGTCAGCCCTCAGCTCCTACTTTCCAAGCTTTGTTGGTTGTTACTATCTATTCTACACCATCGGCTCATCCAATTAGCACCTACAAATTAAAATACCAAATTGTGAATTTGTCTCCTAACTTTTCCTGCACTTAGGCTGATCCTCCCAATTAGGTTGAAAGGCATTTTAGATCAAAGCCCACATTATACTTTTTAGTTTTTCTCACAGCACCTATCAAAGAGTCTCAGATACAGCAGGTTTTAACCAATCAAAAATTTGTGGATATAAAAATATACTTATATATGGTCAATAGGCACTGATTGAATAGGGGTGTGTGTATGTGTGTGTGTGTGTGTGTGTGTGTGTTTGATTTTAGCATAAAGAAATCATGAGAAAGAGAAATACCAAATTCAGCCTACTTCGATTTTCTCTTGAGGGTTGAAGAGGTAATCCAGGGAGGATTCAACAGTGCTGGCAATGTTGTGTTGTGTTTTTTAAGCTGGGTGATAGCTTCACAGTTATTTGTTACACTTTCATACCTTTTTGTATCATTAAATGTTGCAAATTAATATTTATTAATTGACTCATATCTGCTGTTTGTACATGGGCTTATTAACACGCACAACTAATGTATGAGGAATTCTCCTGACATGAGAGAAAAATACTTAAAATATTTGTCTTAGAAGAGTTTTAGTTAGGATTTACTTCAGAGTCTAACTCTACAAACTCTTTTAATTAATATTTTATCTGGCAGAAAATATTTATGAGACATTACTGGCCTCATAAATGCAAATGGAATTTCTATAAATAGGAGAAAAATAATTTCCTGTGTGTCATATTCTAAGGAGAAAACTTAATTGTGAATTCATCTCTTGCTCTGTGAAGGAAGGTAAGAGAAGCAGATGGTGGTGGACAGAGGCAGCGGTTCTGTGCTCTAATTAACACGAGAACGCACACAGTCTCGGTTGCTTTCAAATACCGCCTCATCAATTGCAGACAAAGAAGAACGTGCTTAGCATCTTCCAAGCCCCCTGAGTAGTTCTTCAATTATGTCCCCTGCCCTTGAATGTCACCTGTGCTCTTTGGGAGACTTGAGCATGGAAAAATTTAGGCTCACTTAAATTTGCAAAACCCAGTCAGGAATAGAACCCCCATATTTCTCATTTTTCATGTCTAGGCTAAGAACTGAACCGAGGTCTTCTATATCCCAGTTCAAGGTCTCATCACTGTGAAAAAACTTACAAAATGGCATTTACCAGACCACCTTACATTTTGCTTCCAAGTCAGCCAGGCTCCCCCAATTAGGGCAGAAGAAATTTCAAAGTCTTCGTGTAATCTAAAGTCACTGTCGCCCCAGGACAGGGCACCTCACAGACTCAGAAATGCATGTAACGTGTGTCATCTGGGCCACGGAGCTACACAGCCACTGCCTCTCCCAAGAACTAGGAAATTAAGAAATTAAGAATTTTCTTCTCAGAGTGTTAAACCATAAGATCAACATTAATGGATGCACAGGGAGACTGGCTAAATCCCCTAAGGGGACAGATTAGTCAGGGCCAATAGCAGCCACATTGAATAATTGACACCCTCTCTGCAGAGAGACTGGATGGGGGTCTAGGAGGCAAATCCTGGCAGGGCCACTCTGCCACTGTCCCTGGGGAGGTTGCCTGGACATTGGGCTGTGTGCATGCTGGCGTTGACATAAGAAACACCCAAACCTGTAGAGTAATTTTTATGAGTTTATCTGAACCGAACTGACAACAACTGTCGGGAAGCAAAATCTCAACAGATTGAGAAAATATTCTGGAGAATGGCAGTTTTGCAGCTTATTTTATACATTAGAATCAAAGGAGGAGGAGGAGACATAAGGAGGGTGACATGAAGTCCATTGGTGGTAGGGGGTGAGAGAAAGCAGCAAGGAATTTCTCCGGGATTGGATAAAAAGGCAAAGTAAAGAAACACATACTTCCTTTACATTGGTAGCCACAGAATCATTAATAATTAACATTTACAGTACACAGAGATGGTGTGTGGGGAATGAGATACCAATGAGGAGTTCTGTGGTCTCCAGCTCAGGAGCATGGGTGGTTGTTCCCTGAGGTGTCTGGAAAAGAAGATTAGGCTGACATTTCAAAGGTTTGCTATCTTAGATGCAAAAGGACAATAGACAGGCTTACTTGGGTAAAGATTCACCTAGGTCACAGAATCTACAAGCCTAAGACCTGAATACCCACCATAACCCCTTTTAAGCTAGGAATTTTTACCTTCAGACCACCTTGTGTGGTTACTTTGGCCTCTAGGTTTGTAACGCCCATGCAGGCCTCCCCTGGGCTTGTCCGATTCAGCACACCACCCCTTTCTCATTCACACTGATCTCTTTGGCAAGAGAAGCCCCCAGGTTGCCGTCATGAGGCTAAGCTTCCACATCACTGTCATGCTTCTGTGCTTGCAGGAGAGAACAGGCTTGGTGCATCCTGGTCCCAGTGACAAGCATTTGTCCTCTTATAATTTAATAAACCATTTTCTTGTTGTAGAAAGTGTTCATTTGATAAATATTCATTGAGCACCTGTGCCAGGTGCTGGGGACACAGCAGAGAACAAGAAAGTCATACTCTTTGCCCTGGCGGAGCCTACAGTCAGTGGGCATTGGTCTCGGGTGTACCTATCCCCTACCACCACCCCCTCCAACTTCCCCCATCCTGGGGTAAGATACACTCAAGGCCTAGGGCAGGGATGTTGAACCCAAAAGTCTGGGCAACAGAGAGATGCCCTAGGTAACAGCATCAGCTAGGAAGGGCACTCCTAACTGACCCGTCCTCAGAGAAGCACGTCCACCCTTGCAGACAGCAGCCTGCCTTTTAAAGCGGCTGTGACCTAACGTCTGCAGCTGCCTTTCCTAGAAGCCATTCGAATTAAAGAATAAATGCATGCCATCATCTTCCCTCGAGGCAGGCAGGAATCCAAAATGGCTCCACCCAGCCGGTGTGCATTCAGCTCAGGCTCTGCCTCTGCGCTGTGCCGAGATTTGAGTGGAGGGAGCATTTCCCCGCTATTCCGACCGACACCCGCCACATTCCGCTGGAGAAGGCCGCCAAGGGGTAAGCAGAGAGCCCGCGGAGCAGGAGACCTGTTTCTGGTCTCTGGACCTGCTCCACCTCCAGTCAGTGGGTCAGGATGCCCCAGAACCCCACTCCACCCACAGGAGAGGCAGCCCTCCGGGTGGGGATGCAGCGCCCAGACTGTGGCTTCCCCAACTTCCCCAAGGGCCTCCCACCTGCTCCGTTCAGCTCAAGAAACAACTAAATTTTACCAACTGACACCTCAAGGCACTGCGGACTGACTGAGCAGCCCCTCCCAGGCTCTGATCCAAGATTTCTGCCCTCCTAGTTCCTTCTTTCGGTCTTCTCCACCGCACCCCGTAACCAGAGCGCGCTCACACCTGCACCTGCGGGCGCGCAACCATATGCACACGCGGGCGCTCACACCTGCACCCGCGCGCGCACAGACCTCCGTCATTAGCGTCTGCAGGACCAGAGGCACACCCAGCACAACTGCCGAGAGCACCGGGAGGCGGCGCGAGCCTGGAGACAGGAGCGCAGAGCCACCCGCCCTCCCCTCGGGTTCCCTCTCCACCTTCCAGGAGCCGAGTGATTCAGAACTGACGGTGTCCCCGGATCACGTGGGGAACCCGGCCCCCTCCCCCATCCCCGCCGCCTTTCCCTGTGGCCTTTTAAATCGGTTATTACACATTGTTACACAGAGATACGTTTGTAGTGGGGGCAGAAGGTGAGGAGAACTGGAGAAAGAAGAGGGCGGAGGGGACGGAGGGAGGAGGAGAGGAGTGGAGAGAGAAGGGGAGAGGGGGGAGAGAAGAGGAAGGAGGAAGAAGGAGGGAGGCTGACTCAGGCCTTGCTGTTCTGTTGCCCAGAAATGGGTCTCAGCTGTTGATCTGCCTCCCAGAAAGGTGCTGACAGGGGGCCGTGGTCAGGTTTTATGTCTTAGTTTACTTGGCTAGCAGCTAAGCATTGCTTATGTCTTTGAGAGATTCTCTGTGGGAGTAGGGGGCCAGGAATCTGCTTTCTAGACACATGCACCAGAGAGAGAAGCCTGGAGAAGGGAGTGACTGAGGGCTGGCGAGGAAGGGACAGGATGGCTTAGAAGCCTCTGTCCACAGGACCCACATCAGGGAGAGGCTCTAGGCAGAGACTGAGGCTGCAAGTAATGGCTGGGGCTGGAGAATCCCCTCAAGGGCCCTGAGCGCCCCTTGCCCCGCCTCTAAGGGACACCCCAGAAGTTAGAATCAGTGGGACTTGGAAGCTCCGATTGCAACAAGTAAGTTGTCTTCTTTTCCTCCTCTATTCCTCCCACAGCTCAGCAGATCTGGAAGGCAGAACCCACTCTCAGGGCTCCCAGGGCTTCCAGCCCCTAGCTTTTACCAGGAACCAGTGTGTTTGGGAGTGGAGGGGACTGGGAAGGGTTTAGGGCGGGTCCAAAGTTCAGCCAGGAAATCCGAGATCTCCATAGCCCTGCGGGCTGCCGTGGGCTTGGGGAGCTTTGCCTTCCGAGCGCTGTTAGTTAGGCTGTCAACATCTCTGCTCTGGTACTAGAGAAAGGATTCCTGCCCCTACCCCCACTCCCCACGAAAAGCCCCACTTAGTGGTGTGACTGGCCAGGGCAGTGAGGAGAGGGGCATCACTCCCCAGGGAAGTGGCTCTGCCTTCAGATAGGGGAGTAGAGGGCTAGGGTGGGGCAGTGCATACTCTGTCAACCTTAGATCCTCAGCTTAACCTTGCTTTCTTTTAAGTGTGGCCAAATTGGATGCACGGCCTTGCCATTTGTGCCCTCTTGCTGCCCTGTCACTTCCTGCATGCCGCCTTATCTCTTTTTAAACATCTTTCAAACTGTTCAGAAAGGCCAGGGGTCAAGACTGCAAGGACAGGGAAAGGCAATAGGGAAGGATGTGGCCATTATTCCCATTTTCTAAACCCAGGGATCTCCCTGGAGACCTGTCTGTGCCTCTGCTCAAACAGGGCTCTCCTCCTGGTGCCTTATGTAGTTCAGGCTCCCCAGATCAACTTCCCCCAACCTTTTTGGCACCAGGGACTGGTGCTCCTGAGAATCTATTGCCTGATGCTCTGAGGTGGAGCTGAGGTGGTGATGCTAGTGCTGGGGAGCAGCTGCAAATACGGATGAAGCTTTGCTGACTTGCCCATGCACACCTCCTGCTATGTGGCCCAGTTCCTAACAGGCCATGGATGAGTACTGGTCTGCAGCCCAGGTATTGAGGACCCCCGCCCCAGATCGCACCTGGCCCTCAAAGGTCCAGGGCCTCCCCCAAACTTCCAGTAAGATAAGACCAGCCCAGCAACACCAGAAGATCAGTGGGCACATAATGTGTCAGGAACAGATATTATCATCTTCAGTCTGCAGATGAGAAATTGAAGCTTAGCGAGACTGTGTAACTTTTAGAGGTACACAGCTTACAAGTGAGATTCCCACCTGGGTCTGACTCCAAAAGGAATCTTTTTATTTATTATTATTATTATTTATTTATTTTTTTTTATCACTAAGCTAAGCATCATAGGGCTTTCTGTTTCACAGAACACTTTTCCATGTGGGAGAGAGGTAGGTAGTGAAAAGAAGCTAATATTTATGGAACCAAGTACTGAGCTGGACACGTTCATATGAGTTAATCTGTGCGCCAGTCCTGAGGGAGAGGTCATTCCACCCGCTTTATAGATGACTCTGAAGCTTAGAGAGTTCTGACTTTCCCAAATCCATGCCTTTCCCTCAGATTCAGGTGTAAATCCCATCAGCACAGGGGCTGGGGCTTCCTAGAATCTGGAGGAAGAACGGAGCAGAACCAGGGATGTGGGATTGAGAGAGAAAAGGCCCTTGGTTGGGCTCTGACCCAAAAAGCTTGGTCGGCTCGACTGGGACCTTAAATAATCGATCTGACCTGAGATGGTATCACTCTGCCTAGAGGTGTAAAGAAATTTCTTCAGTGGGGATACTCAAGCATGGGGTGTGTGCTTCTTGGCAATAATGTCAAGGAATTGTCACTTACTGACTGCTTACTATGTGATGTTAGGGATTTAATGTATGTCATGGGATCATTTTTTAATATTCTCATCCACTTCTTTGCCCACTACTCCTCCCTCTACCTCATCTCATCCCGACCCCCTACAGCATCTTGTACCCAAACACTCTGAAGCTTTCACAGGGCAGAAACATATAACCTAAGGCTAGAAAAAAACAAGCATTCTTTTACCTTGAAGGAATTGTGGGGCCGGGTGGGGGCGGTGCATTTAGCAAGTGTTTATTACTGGTCAGGCTCTGTTCATTAATTATGAGATCGATAACAAATTATTACAACAGCATAAATTATTAGAACAGAGCCAGGGCCTCCCCTGGAAGAGGAAGGATCACACAGAAAACTTGTCTGCATGTTCCACAAAAGCACAGTGCTGTAGACCCTCCCTAAACCATGATCTAGATTCTCTAGTTCTCCGAAAGAAGGGGAATCACTCAGACATAGATTCTCCTGTCCTCTCCAAAAGCCACTGTACACTGCTGGCATTCCCCACAGGTGGTGGTTTCTTAATTAAGTAGCACACCTGCATCAAACAGGGAATGAGTGAGCACCATCCATCCAGCAGAGCAGCTGGAGGAAGAAGGAAGTGTGAGCAGAGAAGGGGCTGTAGGAAGCTAGCTGCCTTCTCCGGCGATGAAATCACATGGGTCCTCCTGCGTCTGCGGTCACATCCTGAGTGGTGCAGAGCTCTTCCCTCTGTGGGTCCAGCAGAAACATCACTGTGACTCTGTCACAAACATTCTCTGTCAGCCTCGCTGCCCCTGGCAGACTGCGCAGCAAGGTCCCTTTGGGCCTGTCTGTAAGCGTCTGCCTGGGCTTCTTGTCCAGAAGCAGCTCTAGTCACCTGTGATGAAGTTAATCCCACAGCAGACAAGAGACAACTAGAGTGCCCATTCTCCACTTTTCACTTGCGCTGAAAACAACCTGGTTCTCAATGCCTTCTGTGGTCAAAGCCACGAAGGGTGTACTGTGTATTCACATACTTAAAAACCATGTCTACTTCTGTTTTTTTGTTTTGAAATCGGTTCAACAATCATTTATTTGATCACCTGGCATGTACCAGGAATAATTAGTTTTTGAAAATCTTGGAATATGATCATTTGGGCAAGGTGATGCTTTCCATTTAGGAGAATGTTAGCAAAGGCTTGCATTTTCTGAGTAATACTGATTGAATATTTAGGCTGTGGGGTGGGAGGATGATAGAGAGGAAGGACGGGCACAAGAATCCATTTGGTATTTGGAAGGAGCCTTTTTCACTGTGTCCGACAGGCCATTGAGAGCTGACAGTGTTTCTAAGAGAGGGCCCATCATCAGATGTCTATTAAGCCAGTTTCAGCCCTGGAAGAATTTGTTTTATTTTTCTTAAAGACAACATAAGAAGAATGGGAGTTCAAAAGCAATGAATTATAGGGAGACTTTTGAAAAAACATATATCTGAATGTATTTCTCTAAGAGACTTGTGGAGTGGATTTCTTTGGAATTATTTTAAAACAGAGGGGACAGCTTCCCTTTTCTGAGACCCTGGCTGCTGAGGGATAGAGTGGTGGCCCTGCCAGGACAGCATAGCTTATCTAGTTCCTCCCACCTTGACATTCTGATAAATGAGCTATTCTAGTCAACAAAGCCCAGGCTGGCAGCAGCCCTTGCCAATAGCCGTGTTAAGTTAAATGTCAGAGCCAAACCTTTAACACATGACCCTGGAGATCCTGGCTGGTGCATAAATGTTGAATTCCATTATCGTTCCAGACCAGAGTGGGCTGAGAGGCAAAGGTCAGGGATAATCTGATCTGTTTGTCAGGTGGCAACGGCACTTCCTGGTCACCAAAGGTTAACCCACATAGTGGCCAGAGGCTGGGCTGGGGGTGAAAAGGGAAGTGGAGGGAGAGGGAGAGGAGAGGTCATGACAAGCTTTCCATCTTTCACGCTCATCTTCTGTGACTTGGTTGTTTGGGGCTGGGTGTGCTGCCCACTGCTACGCCTTCTCTCACACTTCAAGCTCCCTACCTTCAAGTCCCTAGTGCCATCATTCTACATTATTGCTTGCTGCTCATAAAGGTAAAGGGAGAAAAAAAGCAAGAACAGAGAAGTGCTTTCTGGGGACAAACCTGTACCTTGTCCTCAGAGTCTGCTCCCCTCCCAGGATTGTGCTACTGAGCACTTGATGCTCAAAGCCTGGCCAGGAGGAAGATCATAAAAGCATCAGAGATGAGGTGCTGCCTCTGCTCCGGGAAGCTGGCCATCCAGTAGGGACAATAGATCCCACAGGTGCCCAGGTCCCAGGGGCCCTTACAAACAAAGGCAATGACAGCCAGCTAACATGGGGCAATAGTAGAGCAACCCTACTGGACGTCAGGATATGCAGGCCTCTGAGTCCCAAGTCAAGTGGCCTCAGTCACTTTGGAGAATGCCCTTGATTGGATGAACTTAAAGTTACTCATAAATTCCTTCAGAAATACGTATAGAGCTCCTACGATAGGCCAGACCTTGTGTAGGAACCTGCGATAGAATATCGGGTCATAGACACACCCTACTTGCCCTACCTTGGAGAGCTCTCCCTGGACCCCCTGGGGAAGGTAGGCGTGCCTGTGAATACATTACGCCATCAGGGTAAGTGCCACTAGAGATGCGAGGACAGAGAGAGGGCCAGGGAGAACCAGGGAAGGCTTTCAAAGGAGGCTTGAAAAATAGGGAGGTCTGCGGGGATGGTGGAAGAGAGTAAGGAGTCCAAGGGACAGGCCTGGAGAGCCCAGCGTCCGTGGCCCTGAGCAGGCCCTGAGGAAGCCTGCCCTGATCATTTTCTCCATCTGTTTGGATTTCCCAATTTCTTCCCTTAAGTGCTCACACTCAATCATATTTTATTTCTCGCCCCTCCCCCTTTTTTTCTTCTCAGTTTGGCCTTTTTTTCCCTCCATTTTTATCTTTTTCTCTCACTCATTCTCTTAGCCATAAACACCCTTTAGTGATTCTTTAGTTCAATCCCTTTTCTACTGCATTTATTCTCTTATTTTTTATTAAACTTTTTCTTTTGACATATTTATAGGTTCACATATAGTTTAAGAAATAATGCAGAGCTCTCTTATATTCTCTACCCAGTTTCTCTGAATGGTAACATCTTATAAAACTATAGTAAAATATCAGAACTGTAATTATCTTATAAAAAGTTGACAATAAAACAAATTTCCCACAGAAAAAGAAATAATGAACAATGAAGAGACAGCCTAAAGAATGGGAAAAATAT